AGAACTTTCTTCTAGCTCTCTTTTGTCTATTTCTACTTGTTTGTTGCATGCCCTGTAAAACGCAGGAATCATAAAAACAGAAATATATCCGTTATATGTCGTGTCTTTTCAATAGAAGAGAAATCAATGTATGGATTCTTGAGCAATGAGCTGCATTTGATAATTAACTTCAAATTGCAGTGGTATGTTGTTGTGATGATGTCCACATAACTATTATAGTAGTTTACAAGTGGTAAGTGGTATAGTCTTGGACAATATGTAAACAGAAACCTTGATCATCTTTCTTCCTCTCCCCAGGACCTGACAGCAGCACTTGTCGAACAGTTCTCTTCAGATTCCCCTGGAAACAGTCAACCTGATCACAAGGACAGTACATTAACAGCCTCACAAACTAACCAGCACACAGACTTCAATACAATAACCTCACAATGCAACCAGCACACAGACATCACAGTGACTACAATAACCTCACAACCCACCCAGCACACAGACTTCAATACAACAGCCTCACAACCCACCCAGCACACAGACTTCCACATGCTGGGCTGTGATATTGACAACATTCTGATCCAGCGTGCCACAGAGAACCACCGGCACACAGACCACCTCACATTCCAGACTCTGGACTACATGGACACAGAGCAGAGACAGGAGAGTCTGGGCTCGTATCTGCAGAGATTCAGCCGTACCAAGTTTGACGTGACGTTCTGTTTCTCTGTGACGATGTGGATCCACTTACAGAACGGGGACAGTGGGCTCAGGGACTTCCTCAGGTGGGTGATCGGATTCCAAGTCTTCGTTAATAGACGAATGGATTAATAGACTAGAAATCGCAGTAGTAGGTCACAAGGTTTAACTTAAGGTTTAATTCCCACCAAAGCTTTTGGCATTCTAAACAAAAATACAATTGCACTTGCTGCAGTTTTTGCAACAGACTATTCTTGAGCTTTTGATTGTGAAACATAAGGATCATTAAATGGAAAGCTACTTAGGCTATAATCATAGCCTGCTATTAGGTCTGTATTTACTGTTTCGTATTAATCAATGATTCTACAGACTCTATTTTGAAATGTGTAATGTGTGGATTCACGACAACAGCAATTTGATGCAATGTACCATGTGTATTATTTTGTTACAATATCATGATGAGCCTAAACTTAGTGAGTGAGTGAGTGAGTGAATTAAGCTCCCCTCCCCCCCGCAGGTCTGTCTCCAGTAATACCTGGTTCCTGCTGCTGGAGCCGCAGCCCTGGAAGTGTTACCGCTCGGCGGCGCGGCGACTGCGCAAGCTGGGCCGGGCGGAGTTCCCGCAGCTGCAGGTGCGATATCTCAGGTCTAGCTAGGGCTGTGTACCGGTACGCAGTACTGATACTGTACCAGAAAAAAATTGATTAGGTACAGGTACCTAATCCCTCAGTACTGGTACCGTACCTCAACAATTTCACAATTTTATGCCTATTTGTGACCTCAAATGTGTAAATAGCTGGTCCCCCATGGGTCCCAGTGTATTGTTGTGAAAGGACAGTGTGTTCATGACAACAAAATCTTAGTTTTGCCCATATTTTGTCTGAGCATTCTCCATAAACAAAAACTAAACCATAACTGACAAGTTTATCAATGTTTTCTTGTTATTGAAGGAGTTCAGAAGAGCATGTCAATTGGTCAAATTGTTCAGATACAGGTTCAGGTCCAGACCTGTACCTAACCCTGTGTACCTGCACCTGTACCTGTACCTAAGATTTATTTAGATACACAGCTCTGCCATAATTAAAATAAGCCCTAACTGTTACACAGGAGCTGCAGATCAGGAGCAACGTGGAGACGGAGATCGACAGGTGTCTGACGCAGGACTGCGCCATGAGGAGAGCGGGGGGGTTCGGGGAGACACAGTGGGGCAGGAAGCTGGTACTGTATTACTCTGGAGAGGGAGAACTGCTCTGACTGAAAGTGTACATCTTACATTCTGACATTAGTGAGTCTGGAGTAATATTCGGTCCATGGTACATGTAATTTTTTCGAATATGATTGACTGAAACCCTCAATTAAAGAAGCATTGTTTTGTCTTTAATGTAAGAAAATGTGTCACTGCCTGAGCTGTGTGGAAGGGAGTGCAGATAATTGTTTGAAGCGTTTAAATCTTGATTCACTTATAAAATGAAGTTTATTAGATTTTTATCTGTCTTCCTCTGTAACGTTAGTTCCTCTGTGCTGTTGTATTGTTATACGATAGCTGATTCCATTTCTTCCATTTCAAAATGCATGAGAATGTGCATTTTGTTGTCAAGGGAAAAATCTCCCTTTTATGTGAAAATAAAATACCTATAAGATTGAGTGTGTTGTCTTTGAGCTCTTCATAAGACATTAGTTGTAGAATTATTTTAGCTCTCAGGTGGCTTGAT